TCTTTGGTTTCCTGTGAAAGCAGACTAAGCTTTGGCCTTGTCAGCCTTGTGACGCATAGCCAGTTATCTTCAAGACTGGAATACATGCAAAAACAAGTGCAAGTGCCCTGAGTAATATAATAGACAACTAACCAAATAATTATATCTCTGCATTTCACCATCTCTGTCTCACTCTCTCTCTCCCCCTCACAGATACACACATGCTCGAAAGAAAAAAATATAAACACATTATCGTCTGAAACGACAGAGATTTCTTGAAGACTGCGTCAACCTGAATGTCGTATTAATACCAAATGGCTGTAGAATATTGGGAATAAGGCGTCGTCTTCTAGTGTGGTCGACTTAACAAGCTCTTTGTCATGCACTTGCCTACGAAATAAAAGTGTACAGAACAATGGGACAGAGAGTATTACAATAGGAAATATTAAAAAAAATACATACAGCCTAAATTATCCTACTAAAGAAAATGCTATGTAGCTATGTAAGAGAATACATGATAATATGTAGATCATGTAATAACACACTGATAAATTACCGAGCGATATTTCATTTCATGGGAGGCAGCATGTCGAATTTCGAATAAAGCTAGACAACAAGAAAGTTGAGGGTATCCGAAGCTAAGCGATTAGAGAATGATTAAAAGTTAAATATACACAGTAGCAAATATCCCTGTTATCCTCTCTCCACTGAATTGAAAGTTATTACATCCCATCCTCTGAAAGTCCGCACTCATAGATACTAGCCTTGCCTTTGATTCATTTACTGCCCATATCAAACTAACCTGCCTCATCCCCTTCCCTAACTTGAAACCACACGCTTACCTTCCTCTTGGTCCTATCAATCGTTGTAGCCAATTGGTTGCAGAGAGCTCGCAAAGCCAATCCCTCTACACTGGGTTTACACAGTCCAGGAAAGACGCGACCCTCTGGTTGATTGATGAGAAGACTGAAGACCGGCGACAGAGCTGGAGGAGGTAAGCGCCAAGAAATCCGGTTGTCTGGCGAGATAGGCATATTGCTGGTGGCTAGATTGGGTCTCTCAGTCTCGGGCCGAATCGTGTTGCAATCATAACGGGTCTGCTGCTTGGCCTCCTCCTCGAGCGAAGATACTGCTTCTTCCACCACATTCTCAATTCCGAGTGCTCCCTTCACTTTTCTCTTCAGCCTCTGCTCCTCCACTGCCTCGTCCGCATTATAGAGTGATTCTCGAGTTCCTCTAGATTCAATCCAATCAGGCCATGCCACAACACATCGCCGACCTGCCAAATCAAGGCCTTCTTCAGGTTCTTCCAGTAGGTTTGACGGGCATGTGCAGAGGTCTACTGGCTCGAGGAGCCTGGAAAGCAGACGATCAAGAGCGGCTTCAGCCGCATCGACGGCCTGTACGGCGGTCACACATGTCGCCGCGTCCACTAGCAGACCAAGGCCTTGACTTCTGTCCGCATTAGCTTCCGATGTCCAGTAGGCGCTATCTGTGCCGAAGCCAAAATGTGACAAGCAAGAAGCCAGGGAGGCCAAATGAGTGCTAGCAGGACTAAAGATTGGTAGGTTACTTATGTCCACCAGCTCTTCGTTCCAGTCCGTTTGAACACAGGCTTCCGAATGCAGGCCAGAGGATTCGGCCTCAGGCAGATGCAAAGGACTGCAAGCCCGGTCGATCAGTTTTGTACAGACAGCTGAACTCACTTTGTCCAAAGAGGGCGGCAGGAGGCCGGGAGAATTCGGTAAGAAAAACGAGGTTGGAGGAGGCAGAGGCGAGCAGGGATTGTAAGCTGAGGAGTGATTAGGAAGAGGGGGCGATGGAAACGGAGGCGGAGGCACAGGCGGAGGCGGAGGCGGGGGAGAAGAGAGAGGCGAGGTAGGTTGAGTAGAGGGTGATTCGGGGCCTGAGAGACACGTCTGCGGAGAGAGGCAACAGCTCTGATGCGAGGAAGTGCTCCAGGGTGAGGGAACTGCACGTAGTAGAGTTGGAGGCTCTCCGGAAAATATGAGATCTTCAGAACCCTCCGAGTCATCAAGATCAGTGGTGGTGGCCTGAAGATGATCAGAGATGTCAGCGGATGCGCCAATCTCAATCTTTTCGGAAGCAAGGCATGAAAGCTGATGGCCGGCTGATAATCTAGGAGGATCGACAGGTACCGAAGGGAAACGATGAATATGAATGTCACTGCCATCAGGACATCGAATACTAGTGACAGCAGAAATGATGGAAGAGGTAGTCAAATCGGACTGATGACCTGATGACCCACATACAGGATTGGGGTTGAAGGAATAGTTGAAAGTTCGGCACGTCCTAGAGTCATCATTGCCGGCGTTGATGGAAGTGGAGTCAATATCAGCAACTGGTCGCATAACTGGAGTGAATGAGAGGCGACGGCTTAAGCTTGGCGAACAAGAGACACGGCCTGAAGGCGGGGTGTTGGGAGGAAAAGTCAGATTGACGATCGGAACGGGAGTAGATGAGATTGCCTCTGTCGTCTCTGTAGAAGCTATAGCCGTTGTTTCAGTGTCTGTGAATTGGTCTCCATCTGCATCGACTTCCGTCTCTGCCGCAGCCACGGAGTCTACCACACGGATTAGATCGTCCTCTGTGGTGCTTGTGCTGATGCTGGCGCTAGTTGGCCGCCCTGTCGATAAGTGGTCCAGCCCTAGACTAAGCCCAAGCCCGAATCCCCCAGCCATAACGCCAGTGCCGGAATTCTGATGCATAACTATAGAAATGGGGGAACCTCTGGAACCAGATAGAGATGAACCAGAACCAGGCAGCTTTGTCGTTTCTATGAGGCCAAGGGTGGTCCAATCGGCCAGGGAAAGGCCTGGGGAGATAACAGATGAGTCTATAAGAGGAATCATGGATAAAATAAGAGCAAAAACGAAATGAAAGTCATTCACTTTTTAAAGGGTAGATTGATAAAGTAAGCAAATGTCGAAGTTAACGAAAAGCTGAATAAAAAGCCAAATCTTAGTCAAAGAATGTATACGATTAAAAATAGACGACCCCATCAAGTGAGTGCGGTACGGAGCCCCAAATCAATACTGGTGCAAAATAATAAACGTAAATTATGTACTGTATGTGTATTAAGCCGAGGTGTCTGATGAAGAGCTCTCCCTTCTCATCGCTAATCATTTAATTTGATGCACATGAATCGTGTTAATACAAGGACCAATTACTCGTCTTAATCAAAAAACGGCTCGGTATTTTAGCCATATTTCTAAGGCTAAGTCCTAGAAGCCTTATTGTCAAGTTCTTATCCCAACTCTTACCCTTTCATGATAGGAAGGCGCCGCAACACTAAACAATTCCCCTTTGCATTTTATCTCCAGCTTTACATCGCATTTCATATCGAACCTTCCATTTTACCTCTTCTGTCTGCAATTACAACTGTGCTCACGACCGCTAAACTGACTCATTAACTTTATTGCATTAGTCTTCTTCTGAGAGTTCCACTGCTTAGTCAGTACACATACTCAGTACATCGACCAACAAATCCCCAAAGCCTTGTATTCGACCTCTCGCTTCGCATGAGCAGTTGTCAGCATTGGACCCTTTGGGTCGGTACACTCCCAAGTGCCTAACTTGCAGACACTTGAGTATGAGGTCTTTTACTCCAAATCAGAAAGCTCAGCTAGCCTCTTACTTCTCTCTCTTTCTCTCTGTCTAGCTAGCTAGATATACAGACAGACAAATGGATGGATAGATGGATAGATAGATAGATAGATAGATAGATAGATAGATAGATAGATAGATAGATAGATAGATAGATAGATATGAATATAGGTAGATAGATAGACAGATTGTTCGTTCTGTTCCGTTTTTATGATTTTCGCAATTTGGTGAGATAAGCATAAGTAAGACTCTGATTAGATTCTTATCTTATTTTTTTACCTTATCTATGATTCTGTAAATCTTGGGAAAAATTGAAACACAATACTATGCCTTTGCTTTATAAAGAACTAGGACATAGCATTTGTTAAAACACTACATTAAGGCCTCAATGAACTCCAAAACTAAATTGAAGCAAAGCACAAAACTATAGCCTGAAGTGAAGTCTGTAATTAAATCCTTCCAACTAGTACTTAACCAAGTTAAAAGAATGCAAATTTGCCATCAAACACAGGAATATCATATACAGTGACAAAAATTACCGCACTGTGATATGTCGTACGAAGCATGAGTTGAGCACCTGTCAATGCAAGCACTTGGATGAGCGCAAGGTTCTGTCATAAAAATTGTTTGAGGGAATGCCGGCCGAAATGGCGTAACTATTTTGCCTAATTTTTCCAGCGGACCAGTCGAAAACAGCACTGCACCTGATAGATTAATAGTTCAAGTCTTAAAAATACAATAAAACTTTGCAGCGTCGACAATCCCACCACAGAATGCGATATGGGAAAATGCCTTGCCTTCCTTGAAATTCACAACTGCCCTGTGAGCCAAGGGCACTCGTGGCAATGTGCTTTAATTGTTAACGTGTCGAGATTACGAGCAGCACTGTCACGGTTCGAATCCCGCTGAGGCGTTGTTGAAACTGGAGTATAACCTGGATGAGAATAGCTTTTATGAAAGCAAGGCTAAGTGGAATTCAATGAAAATTTATGTTCTACCCATATTGTTATGAGAAAATTCCAATGCTAGTCCCTTTATCACAATATACTAAATTGAGTGAATACACCTCATATATGTGATCTGCTGGTAGACTCAAAAACCTACTTATAAATGAAACATCTACCCACTCCCGCCCTATCCCAACTTTTGCATTGTTCGTATTATAATCTTCTATAGGTATGCCCGTTTTGGCGAGTTTAGTGTGGCGTCATCACACCTTGCCCCTCCTCTCCCTCTCGATTTACTGGTCCGACTCTGGTCTGGTGTCCGGACCTCCCTCATGGGTCGGTAGATCGGTTGACTGATTTCACTCGGTTCCAATTCAAGTAGACGTTTGACTACAGGCTCTCTTTTGTAAGCATTTAGAGGCACGCATACTGTTGCCTAAGTGAGCAGAGCGCCAAGGCTTTGATTGCAACGCTTGCGGATATCAGGCCTTTCATCTACGACCCATCCTCCTCATTCAACTCGTGTGTCCTAAGCAAACTCTGCTCGCCCGCTGCCTCACGAGTGGATTTCTAGTCAATTTAGCCATAGTGCCAAATTTCTGCGACAGTTCTGATGTTTCGTCTCCCTAGTCTTGTGATCACCAGGACACCTAAAGTTATAGCTGTTTCCTTGAGCAGACTAAACTCACTGAAAACGTCTTCGCTTGATTTCCGAAGGTTCCTTCCTTACAATCCCTCTTCCTTTGGTTAACGATAGGTTCTTGCTACAAGTGTCTCCTTTTTGCAGTCTTGCCGTATCCTTGTTTTATCCTAGCTTGTTTAAGCACTAAGCAAATTTATCACTAACTCTGCCTTCTTCCAATCTCCTACTGATTAAGCTTTTTTAACAAGGATGTTAATGGCCTCCCTAATTTTCCATTTTCTTGTGTTGTCACTATATGAAGCCACTATTTCTGATCTTTCGGTGTCCATTTATCTGCAGGGCCTTTGATTACCTTGATTTGTAAGCTGATTTTTCTCCTTATTTCGCCAATATATATTTTTACCAGACCCCACAAGCTATGCGGTAAACTCCCGAGCAATCTAATTTATCTACCAACTCAGGCTGCATGAGTAAACTTGTGAAGAGTATGTATAAAACTGGGTTTCAAAGAGTGTTATTGTTTTCTTCGTGGCCACCTGAATATTCCCCTTTCTTAATATTGGCCGAAGTTTTTGAGTTAGTTCTTAGGAAGGTAGGCATGCCCACTTTTGTGAATATTTTTCTATCCTTACTTTTCTTTCATAATCTCTATCCTGCCATCGGCTTTTCGTGGCCTTTATGTTCCTTTATATTACTTCTCTCTGGTATCCTTTGCCGAGAAACATACGAGTCATGAAGAGAAGTTGGGTTTCGAAGACTCCATTAATAGATAAATACTGACGTATTTTTCAGTTCGTTTGAGAAGACAGGTCTAAAGGATTCGTAGATTGGCCTCACTGGATGCCGCAGGAGGGTTGCCTTGGACTTTTGTCTGTTGAACTGTGCCAAGAAAACCTCGGCTCATCGTCCAACGATCCCGATGATTCTGTGTTGAGCTCTCGTTCGTCCTGTGGCGGACATCACC